ATCTCCAAGAATGGGGAAAATTTATTTTTCTACAATACCTATATATAGCTGCAAGTCCTAACGGTATTCTGTATAATAAAACTTATTTGGAAATTAAATGTCTTTTTACTGCAGAAGATTAAACAACATCACCGAAAAACATTAATTACATTTATTTATATGACAAAAAAGGAGTATATAAATTAAAAGAAAATCATTCCTACTACTACCAAGTTAAAGGATAAATGCTATGTGCTAATAAACATGTCTGCTGTTTTGTAATTTACACTTTTAAGGACATTCTATTTTTGTAAGTAGAAAGAAACACAGTTCATCGAGCAAATAGTTGATACATTAAAACAATTTTTTGTTATTCATTACAAAAAGCAATCATGAACAAGTTTGTGTATAAAAGTTTATAAAACAGTGAGGAATTCTGAAATAAAAATAAAAATTTACTATCTTTTCATTTACACATTTAAATAAGTTATTTTACAAATAAAGAAAAAAAATACAACTAAGTTATAAAAAAATGTTTTCAAACACAACATAAATAACATTTTGTGCATTCAAGTATTTTTACTTATAATTGATCTTCGAAAATTGCATAACATAAAACACATAAATGTTATTTCATTTGTAGGTATATGACTCTAATGCTTGCAGGTAAACTATAAATTTACTGCCAACAACAGGTATACAAACAAATATTGATATATCTTTCTCATTGCATCACGAGTCGCATATGTGTAGATGGCGGCACTTTTCGTATGTGTAAGCAATCTAAATCCTCTATACATGCCCTTTCTCAGTATCCAATATACTAAAGATTCATAATACTAAGCCACATAATTTCTTTTTCAAGAAATTTTCTTAAAAAATAATTAAGAATAAGAAAAATATGCTCCTCGGGTGCGGATCGAACACACAACTTCCTGTTTACAAGACAGGTTCTGTACCAATTGAGCTACCGAGGAGCCGTACATTCACTCGCACTGTAAGTTTAAATAAATTTCTTATTCTTAATTTTTAAAGCTGTCTTTCACCTAAGCTCGATGTAGTAAGTATATGACTCTAATGCTTCTAGGTAAACTATAAAGTTATTATGACCAATAAGTATACAAGCGAATATTAATACGGCTTTATCATTGTATCAAAAGGCGCATATGTATAAATGCCGGCACTTTTTATGTAAGCACCTTATATCCTCTACACATTTCCTTGCTTCATATCCAATGTACAGAAAATTTATAATGCTAAATTACATAATTTCTTTTTTAAGAAATTTTCTTGAGAAATAAATAAAAATAAGAAAAATATCCCCCCCGGGTGCGAATCAAACACAGAACCTCCTGTTTACTAGACAGTTGCTCTACCATTTCAGCTACCAAGTAGCCGTACGAGAAATTTAAGACGACCAATAGGTATACAAGCAAATATGAAACTTATTACCTAAACTTACGTTGCGACTGAATGTACGGCTCCTTGGTAGCTGAAATGGTATAGCAACTGTCTAGTAAACAGTAGGTTCTGTGTTTGATTCGCACCTAGAAAGGATATTTTTCTTATTCTTATTCATCCCTCAAGAAAATTTCTTGAAAAAGAAATTATTTGGTTTATTATTGTGAATCTTTATTATATTGGATATTGAGAAAAGGCACGAATAGAGGATATAGAGTGCTTATATAACAAGTGCTGGCATCTATACATATGTGCCTTTTGATACAATGATCGAGATGTATCAATATTTGATTGTATACCTATTAGTCGTATTTAATTTTTATTATTTTATCTGATAATAGAGTTTGTGTATTATTCAAAGGTCCTTCTAATATTTTGTATGTTTTTGCCAATCCAATCATGCGTTTTATGTGAACTCGTTTGCTTGCAATTTTTTTATCTTGAGTCATAGTGGAAGTGGGTGATTGATTTTTTTTTCTTAAAAAAATGGGAAACATTTTGATTTCTCGGACGAAAACTAGCCCAGTTCAGATTTTCTTATTTAAAATAACATTGAAAAATTTGAACTGGGCTGGTTTTCGCCCGAGGCGTCGATTTAATTTGGTACCGTACGGAGCTAACAAGTCTTGTGTATCAAAGCCCTCATCGGCCATCAACTTGTATCCAGGATCGCACAAGCGCATAATGTTGCTTCTTTTAATAACGTGTCTATCATTGTATCGCTGGAGTAATATTTGTCACCAAACCACCGGGTGAGGCACAGATTACGGTTTTTACAGTAGCTTTATTTTTATGAGTAGAAAATATACATTGTTGAGTCGTGGGTACACCAAATATATTTGTAGGTATCTTTGTTCCATCTACGATTCCTTTAGTCCCTGCAAATTTATCTAAAAAATTACTAGGTGTGGAAAATCTTACTAGATCTCGTGATTGCCACTGTACATTTTCTGACGATTGTAGATACAAAAAACTAATCCTGGCAATAAAAACGTTCGTCACTTGCTATGTAGGAATATTGAAAAACACACTAACTTCGTAGTATGTTCTCTTTTAACGAAGAATCAACTAAGTTTATAGAAATTGATTTTCACTATTCATATTATTTCATGTCCCTGGACCGTTAATATAAATAAGTTCTTTCACAGCTTCACCAAGTGTTTGAAAAACGAACCGAAACTTTTGGTATGTTTTCAACCTTGTATAAATGTGAACTAGTTTGTCATCACTTTTTATATTTTAAGAAATAGGTATCAGACAGATAGATGACTTTATATTACTAAGATTGGAGCAGAATTTTGAGTGTCTCCCTCCCTTGTTTCATATATAATGACTTCATGACTAACATTTAAATAACTGAATTCTAATCCGTTATTTGACATAAGCAGTGGATAAGTGAGTATGTAGGTATAATCTCCCTTAACACTTCTATACATCACATGACCATTGTGCTTTTCAATAAGTTTTTGTATAATTATCTTGAAGCATCTTTCATCAAAAATATTTTTAATGAAGTGTGCAACAAATCGTTTAATTTCTGCTTTTTTTTTTTTGCCACCATCAAATGGTACCACTGTGGGCTGTAAGCATTTTTTTATTGTACCATTACTTGAAATGAAATTGCATTATGAAAATTATGACTTTTGTATTTTTTAATTCTACTCTTACTTGTAGCAATAACATCAAAATCATTAGATCTAAAATGAGCGCTGTAAATTTTATTCCATTTGCCTGGCGTTTAATGCGAAATTTTAAGCTTCTTCATCCAAACTTTCAGTTTATTTTTATTTTCGAGAAACAAATGCCCTACACTATTCACTAAATTTTCGCATTTATTCACACAACATTTTTCTCGCATTTTCACTCAATTCAACTTGGGATTTTGTGACGACACTAATTATATTATTCATAGGTACAAAGTATAAACCAAACGAACAAATGTGATTTCACATAAAAAAAAGTAGGTTATATTGACATATGTTAAAAACGTTTAAAAATTTTCCAGAAGATTCTCTTACTTGTAGCGTTGTTAAAAATTATCATACATGAAGCACAGTTTACCGAGAAATTTTTCCGCAGTGTCAGGATACATTAAAATTAATAATACTAATAATGATACTGAATAATCGAGTGAATTCTAGCCATAACCATCTAAAAAAAATACATTTTTCAAAAAATAAATAATTCAAAAAACTTCTTTAAAATTTAAAGCAAGTATTTAAAATCCTTTCTTCAAATTATATTCCATGGAATTGAATGTGAATGTTGTGAAAACGGCGGCTTGCTTCTTTGAATGTTAGAAGGATAAACCAAAGACAAAAATCTGTGTTTGAATACTGTGCGGATAGCTTTATCATAGAAGTTGTTCAGAAACAAAAAAAATAAAAATAGGAGGTATATTATATTGTAAGCTTCTATCGCTTCTTAAAGATTTTTGCGCATCTTGAATGTATATTTATTATCGTGTTAACTCGGTTCAACGGCCTTCCTTGTACATGAACTTCTTAGAATTTGAACAGCCTTGGCCTTGTTTACTACTTTACCGAAATATAAATCAAAGCATGTGTATGTACTCAGCAGGCAAGAAATTTATATTTAGTGTATTAATTTAAATTTCATCACATCATAGGATTGAATGGGTAATCGTTATATAGACTCCATCAAACACGGAGTAATACTATAAATGATTTGTATATTTTATAACCCTCCAGGAGATGATTAGGAAGGAATAAGGACTCGGTAGAAATGCTCTTGGTGTCAGCAATGCTAGTGATTTCACGCGAACTGTTTCGGAAAGGTTTTTGGGTGCCCACGAAAGGTGTTCAAGTCAATTCTTTTTCACGGGGACTAGTTATTTCCGCTGGTGTCTTTTCGTTGATTCAACGGTGATTATCTTAATCTCAAGATAGTGACCTATACGATTTCTGCAGAAAGAAGTTAAAGAAAGATATGTAGCATATGGATGGAAAAATGAAATTCAGGGTACGAGCCTAAAAGTTGTCTCTACTACATTCATACGTACATATGAGTACCAAAAGCAAACATGAGAGAAAAGTACTCCAAAATTAGAGTTAAATTTTTTGTTTTATTAAATTTTACCCATCTTAAAATTTTAAAAAAGGAACTTACTTCTTACAATGGTGGACAAAGCTAGTCTCATACGACATAAGTATATTCGCTTGGTTTTGGTAGAGTTACAGAAGAAGGACAGTAAGCTATAGGGTACGAGCCTACCAGTCGCTATCGACTTCTAGCTGAAACTGCCGGTTTGCGCTAATTCTTATCGATGCTTCGCTTTGCTTATTGAATATTCCGCTATAATCACGTGATGTCAAATATAATATGTTTAAGTAATTCTATGTGTGTACAATGATTTTAAATGTATAGGTTTTGTAAAAGGTTTTATTACAGTACAATCAGAAAATTCTGTTACATTATACTGCTAGTGTACACAGTTACCATTAAAAGTAAACATAAAAAAACCTCATTTCCAGTAACAAAAGTAAGTTGATTGTAAGTAATACACTATAAACATTACTAAAAGTGAATGAGTACCTTGAAAAGGCAATAGAAGGAAAAAATCATTATAAAGAGTTCTGTTATAAATTTGTAAACGAAAAAAGTGTGCAGGAAGAAAAGATCAGTAAAATTACAAAAAAACTTTAATGATAAAATTGTGTTAAAAAATGAAATAGAATTAATGAAGATAAAAAGGGAAAAAAAAAATTATAAAGACAAGGAACGTAAGATTCATGTGCTACATAAAAAAATTGAACTATTGAAATACCTCACTCATAAAATGAAAAGTAAAGACAAAATTCCACAGGACAATGTTGGCTAACTTGAGAACACTAAAACATATTGCACTAGCTGCTGAAAATGTAAATATAAAAGATGTAAGAAAAATCTCTTAATAAATAATGTCAAAGAAAAAGTCCTAGCAATATTATTGTAATGTATTAATAGAACAGAAATAAAGGAATAGCTGTAGTGCTAGTCACATTAAAAATTATTTGACGAAAAATGAAAAACTTACTATGTCTTAATATAATGAACACAGACTGTCTAACAGATCAGGTAACGAGAATTATAGACTATTATGGCATGGAAGAAGATCGACTTGACAATATTTTGTAATGAAGCTATCCCTCTTTCAGCGAGCAAATTAAACAGTGGCTTGTGAAAACATACTTAAACGGCAACAAAACGATTTAAAGTATTACGAGTTAAATTGAAAAATATAAAAAAGAATATCAAATTAAGTTAAAAAAAAACGCATATAATGGCTAATACAAAGTTAAAACAGTTGTTAAAAAAAACTGCTTGCATGCTTCCTCTTTTTGTTTTTTTTTTATGTTTAGTCTAACAACAATAGTTGAATTTTTATGAAAATTATACTTAAATCACACTGTTTATTGTTTATACTCAAGCCACTAATCCGTACGGGTATTACAATACCTCCTTGCAGGATTATTATTTCTTTATGCAATGTGAATTAAAAAATTTTTTAAAAAAG